AAGAGATTTTGAAGAAAAATGGATCTTGTGGTCGGTGGAAAGTTTAAGCTTGGAAGGAAAATTGGTAGTGGATCATTTGGAGAGCTTTATCTAGGTAATAAAGGAAGAGAACGAGTTTTCAATTTTGTATATTCTTCTATGTAACATTTTAGGTTTACAAAGCTTGTGTTGAGCTATTTTTTTTGCAGGTGTAAATGTACAAACAGGAGAAGAAGTTGCTGTCAAGCTGGTAAAAGAATTTACTTCATTTGAACACCACTTTAATGCTTTCTGTTTCTAGATTGTTGTTGGTAATGTAAATGCATACCAAAATAAGTCTTTTTTTTGGTTCAACTGCAAACTTTCATGTGATGTTTGTTTGTAAAATTCTTTTCACATGAAGACGATGAGGATTGCTTTTATCGTTTCATTCGCTATTAACATGATCTTGCTGTGTTCTTTTGAATTTGCTTCTCTACTTTTTTATTTCTCCTTTTGACTTTTTTGTTTGTTTGTTCCAATTCAATTATCAGGAATCAGTGAAGACCAAGCATCCTCAACTTCACTATGAGTCAAAGTTGTATATGCTGCTTCAAGGAGGAAGTAAGTATATCACTTTACACTAATTATATCATACTAGATTTTGTTGATTCTCGATGATACGTTTCTCTTCATTGTCTTCTTCGGAGGATCAAGAATACACTGCATAAACAGGCTTTTTATCAATTATATATCGTGGTGGTTGCATTATTATGTTACGGATATCTAAAAAGATTTTTGTTTTGTTTTTGTTTCTGTCTCTCTAAAGGTGGTATTCCGAACCTCAAGTGGTTTGGAGTTGAAGGTGAATACAGCGTAATGGCTATTGACCTTCTAGGCCCTAGTCTTGAAGACTTGTTTAACTACTGCAACAGGAAGTTCACCTTGAAAACAGTTCTCATGCTTGCCGACCAACTTGTGAGTATATGTATCTGCTAATTGGTTTCCAGGTTGTCTGTTCTCTGATATATGAATTCGTTCGTAATGGAGGAGATCGTTTTCTTTCTTCGCATTTCAGCTTAACAGGGTTGAATTTATGCATACTCGAGGTTTCCTTCACCGTGATATAAAGCCTGACAACTTTTTAATGGGCCTCGGGCGCAAAGCAAATCAGGTAGCTTAGTGATTAAATGTGTTCTTAATAGCTGGTTCTGCTTCGAACTTCTGAGATTAGTTTTTTTTTGTTTTTTCTCTCTTCATGTCAGGTGTATATCATTGATTTCGGACTAGGGAAGAAATACAGAGACCTTCAGACTCACAAGCACATTCCTTACAGGTAAGAATATGCTGTGTTGTCCTGCTCCCTTTATCCTTACTCAAGGATCTGGATTTTTGCATCTTAATTTTCTTGAACTCAATTTTATTGCAGAGAAAACAAAAATCTCACTGGGACAGCTCGGTACGCAAGTGTCAACACTCACCTTGGAGTCGGTAAGAGTGCTGTTCTGTGGTGTTACATATATTCCCGAATTTGTGAATTTTTATGTCCGATTTGTTAATTCGTTTTCGCTGTTGATTGAATAGAACAAAGTCGAAGGGATGATTTGGAATCACTTGGTTATGTGCTTATGTATTTTATCAAAGGAAGGTAGGTGTCTACAGTTTTCTAGTCTTTTTATTTCAAATTTTGTATATTTTCTTGAACAATATTTAACAGTTTTCTTTTGCTATTAGCTTACCTTGGCAGGGATTAAAAGCTGGGACAAAGAAGCAGAAGTATGATAGAATCAGTGAGAAGAAAGTATCAACTCCGATAGAGGTACAACAATCGGATCTATGTAATATCTTCATATTGGCATCTGTTGGTAATCTAGCTCCATTTTCTCGCTGAGCTTAGTATGTTATTGGAATGTTACGATGCAGGTGTTGTGTAAAAACTACCCTTCTGAATTTGTTTCATACTTCCATTACTGCCGATCTTTACGATTTGATGACAAACCTGACTACTCTTACCTTAAAAGGCTTTTTCGCGACTTGTTCATCCGAGAAGGTTCTTATCTTACACCATTATTCCAACAAATTTTGCTTACTGTTTCGAGCCACTCCGGTCTCATTCTTTTAAATCTCTGAAACTCTTGCAGGTTATCAATTCGATTATGTATTTGACTGGACAGTCCTCAAGTATCCTCAAATCGCTTCCAGCTCTGGTTCTAGCTCACGGACAAGGGTGATTTTCTTTCTTTTTCTTGTATTTTTACTCTTTTGGCTTTTGAGTTTTTCTATGCTGCTTACACATAAATTTAATCTTGGATTTTTCAGCATCATACAACAACGAAACCAGCATTCAACGCAGGTCCTTCTATTGATAGACAAGAGAGGATGACAGGTAAAATTCTGCTCCTCCTTTGGTTAGAAATTTCAGCACCACACTTTTATTTCTCATACTAATTCTACTCTCTTTTTTTGTTTCCGTTCGTGTAGGAAAAGAAACATCCCGCGATAGAATCTCGGGTGCAGTGGAAGCCTTCTCTCGAAGACACCCGACAACAACATCTACGCCACGTGATCGTTCCAGATCAAGAAATTCTGATGACGGACCTTTCACTAAGCACACAGTACTTTACCAAAACACACATTGATTAATCACACTAACTAAGACAAAAAGACTCAATTGTATGTTATTGCTGTATTTGTTTGGGCAGCATGGAGATTCCGAAAGAGCAAACAGTTCCTCAAGATACAGAACAACCTCTTCTTCTAGGAAAGCCATTGCTGCTTCAAGCTCTCGGCCAAGTTCTGCAGGGGGACCAAGCGAAAGCCGAACTTCAAGCCGTCTGGTTTCATCAAGCGGCGGTGGTGGCAGCGGTAGTGGCACTGGCCGTCCATCCACTAGTCAGAGAGTCCAAGCTGGATACGAATCCAAAACTTTGTCTTTCTCTCGTGCAACAGCTTCAAAAAACGCCAGGGAAGACCAATTGAGGAGCTTCGAGGCCCTCTCTCTTCGGAAATAAAGGAAACTCGATAGAGAAACAGCAACAAAACTCCATGAAGACCACCCACAGAAATTTCCTCTGAGAAAGTAGAGAATATTTTTGGTAAATGTCAGGTTCAGCTTGCAAAAGATGTTCCCACCACTACTCATCATCGTTTGTATATTTTAATCGTGATGTGTTGTTGTTATAGACAAAAATAACAATCAAAAAGGTAGAGACTTTCTATGTAAAAACGGTGAAAAATTCTTCTATTCGTATATTCGAATCCATCTTCTTGTAATAAACCCAACAAAAAAAAGTCTCTTTAAAAGAATGTTCTTGATTTGCTGGGCAAAGTCATACTCAGTGAGCCTTTGTCTAAAAACAAGAGGTATTACTGTAGAAAAGGATAAAGGTAGGCGCAGGATTTGGTTGACTTTTTAGTCAACGCTAAGGACTAGTTAAAAGTTAAAAACAAATATCGCCGCAGGGTCTGAGTAATATCGCCATTATTAAATTGGATAGTACCATTTTTGTTTCATTTCATTTTCTCATCATAACTTTCCGGGAAAAATTCTTCGATTTTCTCTCTGGAACTTTTCAATTTCCTCTCTTTTGAATCAGTGTTTGATCGGG